AAAAAAAAAAAAAAAAAAAAAAAAGAAAGAAAGAAAAAAGAAAAAGCAAATAAAAAAATTATTGCAGATGCATACTATTTGAACAACATATTAAAGATGACCTAATTAAAATATGTAAAACATGTTTTCTAAGAGCTGCTGGGAACACATTATTTTATTTATTTACTTTTTATAATTTTTACTTTTATTTCAGATTGAGTGGGGGTACATGTGCAGGGTTGTTTTCTGGGTATATTGTGTGATGCTGAGGTTTCAGGTACAATTGATCCTATCACCCAGGCACTGAGCTTAGTACCCAATAGTTTTTCCACCCTTGCCTCTCTTCCCCACTTCCCACTCTAGTAGCCCTCAGTATCTATTGTTGCTACCTTTAGTCTATGAGCACCCAATGTTTAGCTTCCATTTGTAAGTAAGAATAAGCAGTGTTTGGTTTTCTGTTCTTGCATTAATTCACTTAGGATAATGGCATATGGTTTTTGTTTTTAATTCTATTTATGTGATGAATCACATTTATTGATTCACATATGTTGAACCAATCTTGCACCCCATGAATGAAGCCTACTTGATCACGGTGAATTAACTTTTTGATGTGTTGCTGGATTTGGTTTGCTAGTATTTTGTTGAGGATCTTTATGTGTATGTTCATCAGGAACATTAGCCTGTAGTTTTCTTTTTTTCATTATGTCTTTGCCAGGTTTTGTTATTAGGGTTATGCTGACTTCATAGAATGAGTTAGGGAGGAGTTCCTCCCCTTGATTTTTTGGAATAGTTTCAATGGAATTGGTGCCAGCTTTTCTTTGTATGTGTGGCTGAATTCAGTTGTGAATCCATCTGGTCTGGGGCTTTTATTGGTTGGTAAGTTTTTATTATTGATTCAATTTCTGAACTCGATATTAGCCTGTTCAGGGTTTCAATTTCTTCCAATTCAATCTTGGGAGATGGTGTGTTTCCAGGAATTTGTCCATTTCCTCTAGATTTTCTAGTTCATGTGCATAGAAGTGTTAATAATAGGCTCAGTATCTTTTACATTTCTATGTGGTTGGTTATAATGTTACCTTTGTCATTTCTGATTGTGCTTATTTGGATCTTTCCTCTTTTTTCTTTGTCAGTCTAGCTAGTGGTCTATCAATCTTGTTTATCCTTTCAAAAAACACTTTTGGTTTTGTTGATTCTTTGTATTTTTGGGTTTCAATATCATTTCATTCTGCTCTGGTTTTAGTTATTTATTTTTTTCTGCTAGCTTTGGGGTTAGTGTGTTCTTGTTTTCCCAGTTCCTCTAGGTGTGAGGTTAGAGTGTTAATTTGAGGCCTTTGTAACTTTTTGACGTAAGCATTTGCTACCATAAACTTTCCTTTTAACAGCATTTTTGCTGCATCCTAGAGATTTTGGTATGTTGTGTCTGTTTTCATTTATTTCAAAACAGTTTTTGATTTCTGCCTTAATTTTGTTGTTTACTCAAACGTCATTCAGGAGCAAGTTGTTTAATTTTCATGTAATTGTGTGGTTTTGAGAGATATTCTTGGCATTTATTTCTATTTTTATTTCACTATGGTCTGAGATTATGCTTGATGTGATTTTTATTTTTGAAAATTATTGAGACTCACTTTATGGCCAAGCATGTGGTTGATCTTACAGTATGGTCTGTGTACAGATGAGAAAAATACATATTTTGTGGTTGATGAGTGGTGTGTTCTGTAGATGTCTATTAGTTCCAATTGGTTAAGACTCAAATTTCAGGCCAGAATTTCTTTGTTAATTTTCTGCCTCAGTGATCTGTCTAATGCTGTCAGTGGGGATGTTGAAGTCCCCCAGTATTATTTTGTGGCTAAGTCTTTGGGTAGGTCTAGTAGTACTTGTTTTATGAATCTGGGTGCTCCAGTGTTGGGTGCATATATTTTTAGAATAGTTACATCTTCTCATTGAATTGAACCCTTTCTCATTATGTAATGTCATTCTTTGTCCTTTTTTTTATTGTTGTTGGTTTTATGTCTGTTTTATTTGATGTAAGAATAGAGACGCTGTTCTTTTTGTTTGTTTTGTGTTTGCATGATAGATGTCTCTGAAACCATTTACTTTGAGTCTGTGGGTGTCATTACCTGTGATATGGTCTCTTGAAGACAGCAGACAAATGGTTCTTGTTTTTTTATCCAACTTGCCAATCCATGCCTTTTAAGAAGGGCATTTAGACCATTTAAATTCAAGGTTGATATTTATATGTGAGGTTTTGATACTATCACAAAGTTGTCAGCTGGCTGTTTTGTAGTTTCTGTTGTGCATTGCGTTATAGGGTCTGTAGATAGGTACTTAAGTGTGTTTTCATGGTAGCATATATCAATCATTCTTTTGTTTCCTTGTTTAGAATTCTCTTAAGGATCTCTTGTAAGGCTGGTTTAGTGGTAATGAATTCCCTTAGCACTTGCTTATCTGGACAATATTTTATTTCTCTATTTATGAAGCTTAGTTTGGTGGGATATGAAATTCTTAGTTGGAATTTCATTAAAAATGCTGAAAATAAGCTCCCAATCTCTCCTGGCTTATCAGCTATCTGCTGAGAAGTTCACTGTTAGCTGATGAGTTTCCCTTTTTACATGATCTGACCCTTTTCTCTAGTTGCCTTTCAGACTTTTTCATTAGCATTGAACTTGGACAGTGTAGTGACTATGTGCATTGGGAACACATTTTTTTAACCATAATAAATATATTCAGTGTGTCAGCATTTTATCCCAATCACTGCCAACTAATCCTTGGTCTTGACCAAGTCATACCTAGCCCTAGAGGTTATGAGACAACTGGCGTAAAATTATATTTTCAAAGTAGGTATGTATTTTTAACTATGTAAGTAATACACAAATATATGATAATTATAAAAAAATCAAGCATTAAAGATAAACATAAAATTTCCCCTTGGGACCATCACTCCCATCTATAAGGTCCCCATTGTTAACAACTTTGTGTATATTTTTTCAGACTTTTAATTCTATTTTTACATATATATGGGCCTATAGAAATATGGGCTATAACTCTGGGGAGGAAGTTTTGGACAAATGATACTCTATACATTTTCTGCAAATTACTTTTCTTACTCAACAATATGCTTCAAATATGTTTATATCTATGCATAAAGGCTGCATAATGTTCCAGTAGAAAAAAAAAAGATACACAAGAGTATGTTTACCCAGTACATTGCAACAAAGTATAAATCAATAAATAAATCAATTAATAATTTATTTTGCTGCCGAGAAGTTCACTCAGTAAACCAATTAACATAGCCAGAATATCCTCAATATTTGCAAAGTTAAAAAAAGTATTCTTTTAAATTACCAGTGGGTAAATATATTACAATGAAAATTAGACATTATCAAAACTCAGCAATATATCTATAACTATATTTCAATGAAAATTTATAGACTTAAATGTATAAATAATAAAGATAAGAGCAAGAATTAATAAAATAAGCAATCATTATATAATAGATAGCTTAAAAAGAAAACTTAGTTCCTTGAAAAAACTAAAAAAAGTTAAAAATTTTCAAATAACACTAATGAAACCAAATAATAAAAGGTATAAACAACCAATATTAGGACTGAAAAAGAAAAAAAAAAAACTCAGAACCTACAGCTAGAAAGAGGACATGATACAAAAATTTATATTAATAAATATGAATATTCTGTGAATATGAGAAATTGCTAGAATGGTAAAACTTACAAATTACTGACTCAGTGAGAAATAACAAATTAGAATGTTCTCATAACTAACAGAAGAGTTGTATCTCTATTTTAAAAACTTCTGACAACTACCACCAGCCCAGTAGATTTCTCTGATAAATTCTAATATTGAAGGAGGTAATAATCCAATTTTCTTCTTCTTCTTCTTCTTCTTTTTTTTTTAATAAACAAAGCTCCATTCATTTTATAAACCAGTGTAAACTTGACACAGAAAAAACCTTTGAGAAGCTTATTAGAGGAAAAGAAAATTAGAGACCAAAGTCACCAGTGAACTTAGATAGAGAAATTCTAAACAAATGTTAGCAAGACAAATTTGGGCTTAATAATGTAAAATTGATTTTGTATTTGAATATAAATCAACCTTATTCACCACAGTAAAATAAATAAGGACAAAATTTATGCTAGATCCAATAAATAAATACAAAACTTACTGTAAAATTAAACATCCACTTTCTAGAGCAGTGTTCTTCAATGGAACTTTTCATAATTATGGAAATGTTCTTTTGTGCCATACAATACACTTTCCACTAATCATATGTTAGTGTGTTGAGCACTCAAAATGTGGCTCATGTGACTGAGTACGTAAATTATTAACTTTATTTAATGTTAGTTAATTTAAATTTAAATAGCTACACATGGCTAGTAGTTGTCATATTTAACATTGTGGGTCTAGAATCTCTAGTTTTTCATTTCTTCCAGAGAAGTTAAGTGGAAGCATTGAGAAAACAGTAAATATTTGTGATTTTATGAACAATTTTTGAGGTTATTTAATTTTGGTTTCTACAGGTGAATAAATCTGGCTGATATGATTTGTTATAAAATGAATAATATAAGGAAATGTTTAAAGACAATGTTAGTTAATAAGATATCTAATAACTGTTTTCTCTAGGTTTTGGCCCCATAGGAATATCATTGAAATTATATGAAATATAGTGACATAGTACATTTCTTTTTTAAAATTTCAACTTTTAATTCAGCTACAGGGGGTACATTTGCAGGTTTGTTACATGGGCATATTGCACACAGGTGGTGAGCATAGTACTCAATAGGTGGTTTTTCAACCCCCTCCCTTTCTCCTTCCTCAAGACAATACATTTATTTTACACATTACTGAATGAGATATTGATTTCTATAAATCTCACATAAAGAATGGGATTATGAAAAATCAGTGAATTTTAGAAAAGCTTTATACTTTGTAAAGTTGTATGTCACAGTTTTATTTGGTGGTACCTAACTATATGTGATTAACTAACACTTAGCATTTTTTTTTTACAGAATTGTACACATAAGTTATGTTGTGATGCTTTAACATGTAGACTGAAAGGTAATGCGCAATGTGGTTCCGGAGACTGCTGTTCAAAAGATTGCAAGGTAAGCGGCAGTTTGTATCTGACAATGGCTCAGCATCAAATGTCTTGAAATACTTGTTTCAAGGAGATGGTAAACGTATCAGTAATATATTCAGCCCTTGCCACCATATTATATCCAAGCAACCTAAGACCCACTATCATACTTAAATCCATTCAGTAATCTATCACTTCCTGTACTCTCATGTACACAATGCCTAATGCTTCTTCTTTCCCAGCTTGATGTTCCAACTCAACATATCAGTTGTTGTTACAACCATTTTGTCTCTCTTACTGACACCATTTAATGAATTCCTGGTGGACGAGAGGTAGAGCAAGTTGGTGGAATAAGACTCTCCAGTGATTGTTCCCCCACAAAAACATCAATTTGAACAACTGTTCACGTATGAAAATACCTGCATAAGAGCTAAGGAAGACAGGTGATGAAACGGCTCCATTGTCTGGATTATATACCCTGGTTCTTTGTCACGGTCCAGAAAGAATTCAGGACACGGACACACACGAGGAGTGGGTTTGGGAGTGGAAAGTTTAATAGACAAGAAGAGAGAAAAAGCTTCCTCATAATGAGAAAGTGGGTTGCCAAAAAGAGGGTCTCCTGTTCGCTGTGGAACGCAATGGATTTTGTACAGAGACTTGAGGAGGCAGAAATTAATTTACATAGGGCTCAGGGAATTGGTTTGACCAGGCGTGCGGTTTACACAGCCCTGGAAAAGACTGGCCCTCCCACGCTAGTCTTTTATTATGCAAATGTAGCCTCCACCTGGCGGCGGCCATGATACCTGTGCACGTGGTTTTACTTGGAGGCTGTCATGACACCTTTAAACATGGTGACAAGGAAAAGAGGGCAGGGGACACCATATTGAATGTACCTGGCTTCCAGGTACAGCTGCCTGCATTTACATATAAAAGCTTCTAGTTTGCATATCTATGCCTTACTTACCAGGCGGCTTTCTGTTAAGAGAAGAAATGGTTTGGGGCTGCTTTTTATTAAAGGGAAATTCCACCAAGAGCTTTTACCCTTTCTAGCTGCCTAAAAATTATTTCTTAATAATTCCTGTATTAGTGAGAGGTCATAGTGCCTGGTTATAGCATGATAAAAAAAGATGCATTAAAGAGGGTAGGAAGGACAGTTTTACATTACCTGCATCGCCCCTCTCTGAACCACACAGCACAGCACAGCATAGCACAGCACAGAAAAAAGATACCGTCTGCTTGCCAGAAAAAGAGGGAAGTGAGACTAGAACTGTACCTTTTAATCAATACCAGGTCAACCGCAGTAAAACCTGGCGCTAGGCAGACACGCCCAGGGCCCTTGAATCTTGGCTAGTACTTATGATCAGAGCTTTCAGACCTGCCGCGGCACCAAACAGTAATCGGTAGCCCCTGCAAGATGGCCTCAAGTTTCGGCCTGCATCACCACCCACCTACTACAACAGTGCTGGGCTCCAAAAAGCCCACAGTGACAAGCTGACTTCAGCAGCTGGGAGGGTTGAATTCTAGTCCAATGTTTCAGTAACTTTAGCAGCCAAGAGACCGAAAATCAAACAGGAATCCTGGAGCTGAAAATACAATGAATGATGTTTAAAAATGCAGTAAAGAGTGCAAACAGCAGAACTGATAAAGCCAAAGAAAGAATCTGTGAAATAGGACACAACTATTTTGAAAATATTCAGTTAGAGGAGAAAACAGAAAAAGGATGACAAAGAATGAAGAAAACTCACAGGATTTATGGGGCACCATTAGAAAAGGTAATATATGAGCAGCTGGTGTTCAAGAAAGAATAAAAAAGATAAAGAGATAGCGGCCAGGCGCGGTGGGTCACACCTGTAATCCCAGCACTTTGGGAGGCGGAGGCTGGAGGATCACGAGATCAGGAGATCGAGACCATCCTGGCTAACACGGTGAAACCCCGTCTATACTAAAAAATTAGCCAGGTGTGGTGGCGGGCGCCTGTAGTCCCAGCTACTTGGGAGGCTGAGGCAGGAGAATGGCGTGAACCCGGGAGGCGAAGCTTGCAGTGAACCGAGATTGCGCCACTGCACTCCAGGACAGACCTAGACTCCATCTCAAAGAGAGAGAGAGAGAGAGAGAGAGAGAGAGAGATAGCTTATTTACAGAAATAATAGCAGAAAACTCTCCAAACCTAGAAAAAGATATAATCCAGGTACAGGAAAAGTCAAAGGTCTCCAATTAGTTTCAATCCAAATAATCAATAAATGTATATGTTCTAATTGATCCCTATCTAGCCATTCCCCTGTCTCTCTCTCCACAGGCTTTTCTGTTCCTCGAAACAAAACAATATTGACAGTAGACCAATTAATAACCGTACATTGCCTCTAAGCGTTCACCAGAAAGAAAGTTTCATGTTTTTCATTTAAAGTCAAGAGCTGGAAATGATTAAGCTTCCTGCGACAGGCATGTCAAAAGCTGAAATAGGTTGAAAGCCAGGGTTTTGTGCTAAACAGTTAGCCAAGTTATAAATACAAAGGAAAGTTCTTGAAGGAAAGTAAAAGTGCTAGCCCAGTGAACACACAAATGGTAAGAAAGCAAAATAGGCTTATTGCGGATACGGAAAAAGTTTTAGTGGTTTGGATAGAAGATCCAACCAGTCACAACATTCCCTCAAGCCAAAGCCTAATCTGGAGCAAGGCCCTCACTCGCTTTAATTTTATGAGGGCTGAGAGAAGTGAGTAAGCTGCAGGAGAAAATTTTAAGCTAGAAGATGTTGGTTCATAAGTTTTAAGGAAAGAAGCTTTTTCCATAGCGTGAGTGCAAGGTGAAGCAGCAAGCGCTGATATAGAAGCTGCAGCAAGTTATCCAAAAGATCTAGCCAAGATCATTGATGATGGTATCTACACTAAACAATGGATTTTCAGTGTAGATGAAACAGCCTCCTATTGAAAAAAGATATTAATATAGTTTGGCTATTTGTCCCTATCCAAATCTCATGTTAAATTGTAATCCCCACTGCTGGAGGTGGGAGGTGTTTGGATTATGGGGGTGGATCCCTCATGGCTTGATGCTATCTTCACAATAGTGATTAAGTTCTCATGAGATCTGATTGGTTAAAAGTGTGTGGCATGTCTCCTCTCTCCCCCTACCAACTCCCTCTTGCTTTGGCTCTTGTTCTCCGCATGTGATGTGCCTACCCTCCTTTGCCTTCTGCCATGATTGGAAGCTTCCTGAGGCCTCCTCAGAAGAAGATGCCACTATGTTTCCTGTACACCCTGCAGAACCATGAATCAATTAAATGTCTTTTATTATAAATTACTCAATCTCAGATGCTACTTTATGGCAGTGGAAGAATGGCCTAATACCAATGCTTTCTAGGACTTTCATAGCGAGAGAGAATTTAATGCCTGGCTTCGAAGCTTTAGGCTGACTCTCTTGTTATGGGCTAATACAACTGGTGACTTTAAGTTAAAGCCAATGATCATTTATCATTCCAAAAATCCCATGACCTTTAAGAATTGTGCTAAATCTACTCTGCCTGTGCTCTATATTGGAACAAAGCCTGGATGACAGCACATCTGTTTACAGCATGGCTTAATGAATATGTTCAGCTCATTATTGAGACCCAATACCCAGGAAAAAAAGATTCCTTTGAAAACATTACTGCTCATTGACAATGCAACTAGTCACCCAAGAGCTCTGATGGAGATGTATAAGCAGATTAATGTTTTCTACCTGCTTAGCGCAATATCCATTCTGTAGCCCATGGTCAGACAAATGATCAAGGAGTCATTTTGACTTTCAAGCCTTATTATGTAAGACTCTAGCTGCCATAGATAGTGTCTTCCGATGGATCTGGGCAAAATTATCTAAAAACCTTCAGAAAGGATACACCATTTAAAATACCATTAAGAACATTTGCAATTCATAGATGGAGATCAAAATATCAACATTAACAGGAGTTTGGGAGAAGTTGATTCAAACTTTCATGGATAACTTTGAGGGGTTCAAGATTTCAGTGGAGGAAGTAGCTGCAGATGTGATACAAACAGTGAGAGAACTAGAATTAGAAATAGAGTCTGAAGATGTGACTGAATTGCTGCAATCTCCTAATAAAACTTGAATTGATGAGGAGTTGCTTCTTATGGATGAGCAAAGAAAGTGATTTCTTGAGCTGGAATATATTCCTGGTGAAGGTACTGTGAACATTGTTAAAATGACAATATAGGATTTGGAATATTACATAAACAAAGTTGATAAAGCAGTGACAACATTTGAAGGGATTGACATCAGTGTTGATAGAAGTTTTACTGTGAGTTAAATGCTGTCAAACAGCATTGCATGCTACAGAGAAATCTTTCAGGAAAGAAAGAGTCAATTGATGTGGCCAATTTCATTGTTGGCCTATTTTAAGATATTGCCACAGCCACTTCAATTGTTAACAGCCACCACCCTGATTAGTCAGCAGCCGTCAACATTGAGGCAAGATCCTCCAACAGCAAAAAGATTATCAGTAAACTGAAGGCTTAGATGATTGTTATCACTTTTTATCAATGAAATATTTTTTAATTAAAGTGTACATATTTTTAGGGCATAACCCTAGTACACATGTAATAGACTACAATATAGTTTGAACACAACTTATATGCACTGAGAAACCCCAAAACTTACGTGGCTTGCTTTATTACTGTATTTGTTTTACTGAGGTTCTCTGAAACTGAATCCACAATACCTCTGAGGTACATCTATATATAGAAAACTCCACCCCCCCAAAAAAAACAAAAACTGTTAGGTTTAGTAAATAAATTCAGTAAAGTTGTAGGATACAAAATTTACATACTAAAGTCAGTGGTGTTCCTATACATTAATAGTGAATTATTTCAAAAAGAAATCAAGAGAACAGTCCCATTATGATAGATAAAAATAAAATAAGAATAAATTTAACCAGGGAGTTAAATGATGCCTACCCTGAAAACTATAAAATATTGATGATAGAAATTGAAGACACAAATAAATGGAAAGCTATCCCCTGTTCATGGATTGGAAAAATTA